TGACGATAATCGAGTGAATACAAAAAAAAAAAAAAAAATGGTTCAGTCGTAAAATAAAAAAAAAACTCAAGAATCACGTCGTCGTCGTTGTTGTTGTTGTTGTCGTCTGCGTTAGCTGCCACGATATTATTAAAACCACGTTTTTCGCATGTCTTTCTTTCTTTCTTAAGCATTTTATGCAAAATCTAAATACTGCAATTTTTTTTTTTTTAAATTTACGACGTATTAAACCTGTAACGTTTTCCCCCCCCATCTCCCCTCCCCCTTCACGACCGACGGAATTAAATAAATGAGTTTTTTTTTTTTTTTCATAGTCAGATTTTGCTTTTTTTTACTGCCAAATAATTAAACTTGAATATTTAATTCCAATTTATTTTATCCGTTAATTTATTAATAAAAAATTGTGGAAAGAAGGCGGTGCATTAATATATATAAAAATCGATTTAAAGTTCGTTAATATTTTTTTTTGTATAAATTTTTTTAGTACCGACAAACAAACAAACAAACGTTTGTACGACGAAAATCCTAATTTTTTTTGCCGTTCGCGAATTACGTCAAAAAAAATAATATAAATGAATCGATGAAATTTGCGTGGGGAGTGAAGAGGGCGGGGGAGGGAGGGGGGCGGATGAGGTAAATCGGTTGAATTTTTTTTCTACCTGAGTAATAATAATAATAATAATAATAATAATAATAATAATAAAACAAATAAAAAAATTAGACTTTCTCTATCTCTCTCTCTCTCTCTCTCTCTTACCCGTCGAACGCATACACACGCACAATTTAATTTCGATCACAAATTTCTTAGTTTTAATTTAAATTTAAATTTAATATATATAGAATTCGATTTTGGCGCGTAATTTAAAATTTTGTTAATTAAAAGCGATTTCCCGATAGTTAAAATTAAAACGCCGAACAATAATTAATAATAATAATAATAATATTCGATGAATGAAAAATGATTATTTGACATATATTAACAAAGAAAGTTTCAAGGACCATATATATATATATATATATATATAACATCATAGAGTAATTAATCACTACGGTATAAAAAAAATTTATTTTCTCTTTGCTTTTATCGAAAATAAAACATCCGACGATATGGAAAAGAAAGAAAGAAAAAAAAATTTAATAAATAAATTAAATCCGATTTTAAAACAATAAAAATAAATAATAATAATAATAACTAAATGTGCGTGCGTGCGTGTATATTTAATCTATGGAATGAAAAAAAGGGGGCGGAGGGAGGGGGGGGCTTAGAGAATTTATTATTATTATATTTTAAGATAAAATCTATCTAATCGAAAGGTTTTTATTATATTATTATTATCATTATTATTATTAACTTAATACGTCTGAATGTTTTCCATGTTCATTTAGGTCAGTGATAAAATTTATTTTTGAAATTTAAAAAAAAAAAAAAGGGGGGGGGGAAATAAATGAAAATTTATCTTATCTTATTTATTTATGTATAATATTGTTATGATATATTTTTCATAGAGTAAATAAACATTTTATTTAACTTAAAAGTTTTTTTTTCATAACTTTTTTTTTAATATTTATCTTTCATGCATTTTTTTATTTACAAGTTTTTCATAAATTTTTTTTTTTGCAAATCATTCGTTTAAAATAGCTTACCTATCGATCGATCCATCGATCGATCGATTGATTGATTGATTATTCATTGTTTTTTTTTTTTTTAAATCATTTATTGTTTGCATTTGTGTATACTTTTTTATTATTCGAGTAAAAAAAAAAAATGTCGGGTAAGAATAAAATATACGTAACAATAAAAAATTTTACTATGATGATGAAACAAACAAACAAACAAACAAACAAACAAACTTCTTATTAACGAATAAGTAATTTAAAAGCTTTAAAAAAAAAAATTCTCTACCACGAAATTTCCCGAGGACATTTTCTTTTTTTTTTTTTTATTTTCCAGTCTGGGATTCGTAAATAATAATAATAATAATGTAGAGTATAAATTTAACGAAGGTTAAAATCGATGAATAATCATTTTACGGTTAAAAAAAATAGGTCGATTAGAAATCGAAAAGAAAGTATTATTATTATTATTATTATTATTATTATTATTATTATTATTAATTTATTTATTTATTT